TATATAAGGTGTTCTGAACCTAAAATCTTTCTTTACACTCTTATTGAAAAAAAAATTTTTTCTGAATTTGCTTCAGTGCTGGTTAAATGGAAACAGTTGTTTGTGTTCTTAGAAAAAAAATGACATCATAGATTTGTGGTTACAGTAAACAGAGTAAGAGAAAGAACGTGTCCATTAGGGTACAGTAAATCCAGTTTGACCTCATTGTATTTGTTCGGCTCATTTTCAGATAATCCAAAAACTTCCCAGAATTAAACTGTATTAAGAAATAGTTAAATTTGACATTCTTATTCCACCATTCTTATAATCCTTCAGAGATTAAACAAGTTTCATGAAAAGAGTGTGTGCATTATTTTTGTTGTCTGTAGCTCCGAGCTCGCAAAATCCTGCCGTGATTCTCTGTTTGATTAAAAGTTGAAAAATGATGGAAAAGTTTACAGTAAATAAACACTCCTGGTAATTCCAATAAAACTTTGGTACATCAGGGCAAAACAAGGCGTGGCAGCATAAGTTGGGCCACGGTGATGGAAGACGGGAACGGCATTTGCATCAAAAGAACTGAAAGCTGCAGAGCAAATATTTGCTCACTGGAAAGCTGGGATCAAACATCATCTCCAGAGTTGAAATTGTGAACGAGTCTGGACCTTTTGGTTGATGAAGTAGTTCTCCTGTGAAAACCGAGTGAAGAGCAAAATGTCTTCTATTGTTTTTATCCTGATTTTGACAACCATCGCCTTTGCGGGTAAATTTGGATAATCTTTTGATTTTAGATTTTTGCATTTTTTTAATTTGTTGTTTTTGAGGCCAAAAATTCAAGATTTTAGCTGCTTTCAGTTCATATTGTAGGATGAAGTCGATATCCTAAAAAATTTTAATGCTCCTTTTTTGCTTGTTTATTACATTCTATTTTGATTTTGCTAAAGCTGCTAACACCTTGTATTTAGTTGTGTATAATTCATCAACTGCTTTTCTTATATATCTTTTTGTTGTGTGTTTTTAGGTCATGTTCACAGCCAAAGAATATATACCACCAAAAACATTGTAGCAGTGGGCAGCAATGTGACAATTTTCAGTGATACACCTATCACATTGGGGATATGGCTATTCAACAATGATATCCTTGCACTCATTTACCCAGGAGGTCAAGCCATAAGTAATGCATACAAGGACAAGGTAACATATGACCCAGCTATGTCAGCTCTGACTATAAGATCAGCTCCATTGAATTACTCTGGAGTGTACAAATTAAATCAAATAAATGTGTTTACTGCTGACGTGACCATCACAGTCGAAGGTAAGGGCTCCCACTCAAGTTCTGTTTAAAGGTTGCAACTTTTCTACCGAAATTCACAAAACCTGAAAAACGTCTCCACATTTTGTCTCTTTGCAGAGCCTATTACAAATGCGACTGTGTCGGCTCAGAGAAAACACCTGGTAGAGTTTAATGACACAGCAGTCCTCACGTGCTCTGTGGCCACCGGTTCTCCTCTGTTGTATACATGGTTGGATGGGAACTCTACAGTCATTGATGGTGGAAATGCACAGTTCAGCAATAAAAATGCCATTCTTACCATCCCAATGGTGACTCGCTATAATCAGGGCCCTTACAGGTGCAATGTGTCCAATGACATTGGGTATGAAGTTAGCCCACCTCTGCAGTTGAGCATCAGTTGTAAGTTTGAATTAAAAACAAATGTATATGAAGCCATTCATTTAAAGATACGCAGCAATGACATCAAATCTTCCTCTTGTTCTTAGATGGTCCAGAAAACACCATRATGACGATCATGCCTGAAAGGAACATCTACATAACAGGATCTAACATCTCACTGTCGTGCTCAGCGGTGTCCAGCCCTTCAGCGACGATCCAGTGGATGTTTAATGATATGTACCTGAACCAGCATGGACCACAGCTCAACTTAGAGAACACCAATGAAAGCCACTCGGGAATTTACAAGTGTTTAAGTTTCAACGCAGTCACCCTGAGGTACAACAGTGCGAGCAGCATGATTCAAATTATGGGTAAGATGTTTTTGTTTGTTTAGTCTCATTTAATGTCATGAAATGTCATATTTTGTGGAATAGAACAACACAGATTGAAGAGAAAGTGAATTCAACATTCATTTCTATCGGTTAAAAAACTGACTATAGCATTCAATGTTGCAAAGCAATTGCAGCAAAACCTTTGATGAAACAATCCAAACTTTGCATTTTGTTAATATGTTATAAATGAATGGCATATAAAGTCATTTTTAATCTTTTGAGGTGCTGCTGTTTTAAATTTATCATCTTGTGTTGGAGACCATAAACTCGTTCTTCTGTTTTCTGCCTGTATGTTGAGGTAAATTAGCAAAAAGCCGCACCCAGTTCAGTATTTAATGGATACATTCAGTACCTAATGTAAGAGTAAATAGGCAATAAACATGACGTTTCCAAGGATCTTGGTCAGTTTATTGTTGTAATGACTCAAATGCATGAATGGAGGAAGCAGTTTTGGGTCATTGGAAAGAACATTTAACAAATATAATAAAGACAAATAGGACTACTGTAAAAAAGGAAGAAAAACAATAGCATCAAAACTCTAAACCATATTAAGAAAATGCTTAGCCAAAAAGGATGAAGTAACACAGATTTTGATTTTCTAAATGCCTTATTTTGTCCACAAAATATACCATATTCATGAAACCCTTCTATATATGTCTTTTTTAACTGTCTGTTCTTGTCTTTTGTTGTAGATCCTATCACAGGTGTTGTTGTGAAACAGACTGCTGGCCCAGCGATACTTCATGAGCTGTTCAGTTTGACTTGTGATGTAACTGGACCTGTTGACAACATTTTGTGGTGGAAGGATGATCAACTCATTTCTGCTGACAACTCAAAAGTCTTTGACATGACCAAYAAAACGCTCACTCTCAGTCCAACCCAGATTTCTGATTACGGATATTATATGTGCAAGGCTTTTAATTTTGTGAGCGATTTGATCAGCAGCCCCTATGAGGTTCTTATTAACTGTAAGAATTGTTTTTTTTTCCTGCATTATTTATATGCCATATATTGTTGATAAATCGCAACAAAATTGGGACATTTAAATATTTTATATAAACTGATCAGAGACAAATTCTTAATTTGTACATTGGCTGTTTTCAGATGGACCAAATGTGCCAATCATTGTGGGACCAAAGGCAGTGCTGAGAGAAAACAGTGCCACACTCAGTTGTTCAGCAGATTCAGTCCCTCCAAGTGTCTTCAGTTGGCATGTCAATGGTTCTTTGGTTTCCAATATGTCTGAGTATATCACCCCTCCTTTATACAAAGACATGGACTTGACATACATCTGCATGGCCTTCAACAACATCACTGGCAAAAGCAGCACTGCTTCCATTACGCTTATAGTTATTGGTGAGACTTAAATGGATTTTTATACTGATACAAAACATTTTTCCATTTACAGAGAAGAGATTAATCTAACATCTGTGACTCTTGCTTTGTTTTCAGATCCAATTGAAAATGTACAAGTAGAGCCTCAAATGAATTCTTCCATTGAAGGTGATCCATATGAGTTAACATGCAACATAACAGGACCTGTTGATTTTATTTACTGGATGAAAAACGGTGAACCACTTCAGACAGACAACGGGACTATTTTCAGCATGGATAATAAGACAATCATGTTCATACCAGTGGACCGCTCAGATGCTGGAAACTACCAGTGCGAGGCTATTAATGCTGTTGATAACATGACCAGCGCTCCTTATAATCTGCTTGTTAACTGTAAGTATGATAAACAAAGTCTTTTTCCTGCTAATAACTAACTTTTATTTGATATGGAGTTTTTTTATTTAATCTCAAAGTTAAAGTGGACATGCCATGCAAAATTCACTTTTTAGCTGTTAAATGCATTTTGTTGTGTACTTAAAGTCTCAAGAAGTACGAAAATTTTTAATTTAGTTCCCTTGTTTGCATTTAAAGAGACAGCGTCAAAACGAATTGCTATGAGATACACCTCAGAAAAAGGGGTGAAAGAGGGGCTTGTGGAGTAACAATAAGGAGTAATTCAAACCAAAGGATTACAGTTCCACTTTAAACAGACCCCAACACAATGATTAATGCAAAATAGAAAGATTTAAAAGCATGACATGTCTCCTTTAAAATAAGAGTTTTCATCTACTGGTAGTAATTCAACATATTGTTTAAATTAATTTTTAGCGTGCATTTATTTGAAAATAGTTTATTACATGTAACACATAGAAGATTACAGTTTAAATGAATTGTAAATCTGCTGTTTTATTTAGACAAATACCATGGATAAACAAGCTTTTGTGGATGCTCTTTGTTCTGCTGTCTTAAATGTGCTTCACATTTATTGACGTTTTAATCAAAATATAGTTAAATGTATGCATGAAGTCTAAAAAAATCAACAGTTCAAATAGATTTAAACTTTGGTGTTGACTATTTAGAAATGCAGAAACTGGACAGACCTTTCTAACTTTCCATTAGTCATCAATGACCAATTGCTTTGCTGTCCAAAAATAAAAATAGATTTTGTCTGACAGAAACCACTGGATTGAGCAACACACTTTACAACAAAAAAGCTTTAAGAAATGCAGTGCAAATCTAACAGAGATCATAGATTTACACTGCCAGTAGATACTATGCAAACTTTTTATTTCTTATCTAAWAGGAGATCATAATTTTACACAACGTAGGACGGTATTCATGAGCCATGTCTAAATAGCTACCAATTTCAAACTCAAGATTGATGCAAATAACTATAAGACAGTTATGACATAATGTTTTAGAAGCTTTATTTATTCATCCAAAAAGAACCACGTTTTGCAAAAAATACAAATAAATAAATAAATAAAATGTTAATGCTTTTATATTTCTTTATCAGTACAGTATGCAGTGCTTCATCAGTGGTTGGATATTTGCAATGTATTTCTAAAAATGATGACAAGAATAGTTGAAGTTAAACTGTCCTACGCTTTCACACGCCCCCTAGTGACAAAAAGTAATAGCAGCAACAAAACAGAAAAAAATGCGTTCAGTGTGTAACCTTATGATCATTTACTAAAAATGTTTGTTTTCAGATGGACCAGATATGGCAACTATCATGGGACCCCAGCTGGCAAAGATAGGAGACTCTGTCACACTCAGATGCTATGCAGCATCCATCCCCTCAAGCCAGTACGAGTGGTATTTGAATGGTTCTCTGATTTCCAATGTGTCTGAGTGTATCACCCCTCCTTTAAACAAAGACATAAGCTGGGAGTTTATGTGCGTGGCTTTCAACGACATCACCGGCAAAAGAAGCACGGCCTCCACGGTGCTTACAGTTATTGGTGAGACTTGAACAAATCATTTTTAAATTGAAGTGCAACTTTTCTTACTTTTTACAAAGATGAACAGTTAACACAATATAGCAATAAATAGTGTGAATTTTGTTTTGTTTTCAGATCCAATTGAAAATGTGCAAATAAAGGCTCCAAYGAGTCCTTCCATTGATGGTGGTTCATATTGGTTAACATGCAATGCAACAGGACCTATTGATTTTATTCACTGGATGAAAAACGGTGAACCACTTCAGGCAGACCACAGGACTATTTTCAGCATGGATAATAAGACAATCAGTTTCACGCCAGTAGACCGATCAGATGCTGGCGCCTACCAATGCAAGGCTATGAATGCAGTTGAAAACGTGACCAGTGCTCCTTMCAATCTGCTTGTTAACTGTGAGTTTGTTTTATGCTCTCTTATTTCAGTCAACTTTTACAGTACAGTACACCATATAATTTAAGTGTTTAGTATTTCTTAAATGATACAGGGACAAGGATAAGAAAGAATCTAATCATGGTTTATTCCCTTATTTTTACAGTTGGACCAGATACACCCATCATTTCTGGGCCAGCTTATGGTGAAACAAGAAATAATGTTGTATTGATCTGCRATGCCATGTCAGTGCCTCCCAGTTCTTTCAGCTGGTGGTTCAATGGAACCAAGATAGCCAATACTTCAGTRCTAAATGTCGGACCTTTGTCTCTAAACATGAGTGGGAAATACACTTGCATGGCTTACAATAATGTGACGGGGAAGAACAGCACAAACTCCACGATGCTCTCAGTCATAGGTATCAGAATGTGGATGCTGACAGAATAGAATAAAACATTTTGAACRAGTCATGGTAATACCCTAATTTACTTGTTTTTTTTTTCTGTTTACAGAGACAATAACGTCAGTGACGATCATCAACAACACAATACCGTTAAACAATGTGAACTTCACACTCACATGTAAAGTTCTTGGGCTCTATGATGCAATCTACTGGATGAAAGATGGCATGATCATCAGCAGCAATGCCTCCAACACCAACTCATCCCTGTATCGTGTTGTAAACAACATGCTTCTCTTCAACCCTGTGACAGTTCAAAATAATGGGACCTATCAGTGCGTYGCTATCAATAAGGCTGCTCATCATCCAAGCTCTGACTACATTCTTCGTGTGAACTGTAAGAACCATTGGCACCAGAGTGTTGTTTATAATTTGTTTTAGAAAATTGCTGTTGCATGAAAACTTTAGTCTTCTCTGTAACTGGTACCTACACACAAGCACTTCATGTGTTTCAGTACATTATGCAGAGCAGCTTTTTTCTCATTCAGTAGGGTTATAATACCCCCAACTGCTCCCTGGGCACCTGAAATCCCACTGCTCCACTTGGGTGTTTCTCATGTGTGATGGGTCAAAAGCACAGAGCMCAAAWCTCATCATTGTACAGGAAYATGCACTGATGACAATAAAAAGTGCATTTAATCATAACTTTCTTTTTATCTGTTTGCAGATGGTCCTCTGAATRTTTACATCGCTGGTCCAACAACAACAAAAGCAGCCACCTCGAGCTCAGGAAATGTGTTTCTGACGTGCTCTGCTGAGTCGCACCCAGACTGCGTCTTCCGCTGGTACCTAAACAAAAAGTCTGTGCCTGTAGGGAACGGAGCAGTTCTCACTTTCTTAGCAGGAAAGCAGAATGAGGGGAACTACATATGTGAGGCAACAAACCCTGTGACAAACCTCACATTGACCCAAAATAAAACTTATTCTGTTGCTGGTGAGTAAATCTTACCACTCCTTTTTTTGTTGTCTTTTTCACTCTTAATTTTAATCTACTTTTCTTTA